TGATGGAATTCCTTTGAAGAATCGCAGGACTTACACCAGTACGCCTGCAACCCTTCATAGGTTGACGATTGTAATTTGTGGAATGTCCGGACACAAACAAGATTAACCAACAATTACAATAATTGGAACTCACACAACTATTTAACACAAACATATGTACAATCACTACATCAAATTTTGTGGATTCTGACACGACAAACTGCCCTTGAAGAACTGTAGGACTTACAGCAGTACGCCTACATTCCTTCTCAGGTTGATGATCCAAGCGGAAGTCGTACGGACACAAACAGAATTACCAACAGATAGATGAAAGATGATATCAATTCAGTATATACAATATGAACATATGTACAAAATCACACACCGAGCACATTGGACTGCTCATTGATGCGCTACCCTTTGAAGAACTGTAGGACTTACAGTAGTACGCCTACAACCCTTCTCAGATTGACGCCCTAGGTTGAAAAATCGTTGCAGAGTTCATTTGCTGACCTCCTCCTATCAGCTATATCCTCAAATCTGAACGGTAACACACCCATGTCATTGTATCGTAGAATATAGATAACGAACAAACATACGACGTATCTGGTCAACCAAGCGTAGGCACAGAGTAATTTACACCAAAGATAATAGCATTCAAATAGTAACTTGAAACTAGAAATGCCTTTATTTATGCAAGTCAATTTAACAGTTACTCTCTCGTTTACACTTGGCTTATCCTCTCTAAACTGAACAATATCTTTGTCCTTTCAAATGCACCAATACTATTATAGTCATTGTACAAGATACTTGAGTTGATGGGCGTCTTCTTCCTTGTGGATGATAACACCAACGACGACTGATTGATATCAGTTGATGAAGTTAGCGGTGGATCAAAAGCTGTTGTTGCTCGGCTTTCAGAAGTTTGTCTAACTCCAAGACCACCACTAATGCTGTCTTTCGCTATTAGCTCCGGTTTAGCACTAGCATCTGATGATAGGTGGGCTACATGCTGATCATTCACACTGACGGTCTGACAAGTATGCATGCCTTCTGCAACTGAATCTGCATTTATTTCTACTTCACGTTCAAGTTGTACAGAACCTTTGTTCAACTTAGCAGTAGTAGGCATATCCCTCATCATCCGGTAAGTTGAACTGTTTTGGAGGTGTGACGGTATGATGATGTACCTTGGATCTTTGACATTGCAAGCATTGGCGGGCCCATTTCCGAATATCGGAGTTCATCTTGGGCCAAACAAAACGCTCGCTGATTAACTTGACCGTAGCACGCACTCCAGGATGAGACAATGAATGTAGATGTTCAAACAAAGGTTTTCGACAACTTAGTGGAACAAAAGGTCTATGAACGCCCGTTGAAACGTCGCAGACGATAGTTGTATCAGACAGGGGAATAGGTACATCCTGCAACTGTAGGGAGGAGTTTCGTCTACAAGTATGGAGTTCGGCGTCATTTTTCTGCAGCTTGGCAATATTGTCTAAGCTAATATCTATCGAAGATAGGTGATTAACGTCACATCGAGACAAGGAATCGGCTACGATATTAGAATCTCCTTTGATGAACTGGATGTCTGTTGAGAATTGTGAGATGTAATCCAGTTGTCTGGCTTCTCTCGGAGAGTGTCTGTCCAACGAAGTGGTGAAAGCATAACAAAGAGGCTTATGGTCGGTTAAGATAGTAAAATGTCGACCTTGTAGTAAGAAGCTGAAATGTTTCACTGCTAGGTAGATGGCTAACAGTTCTCTGCCAAAAGTGCTGTAACGAGTTTGCGCAGGTTCCAATTTCTTGGAGAAGAAAGCAAGTGGAGTGATGTCATTATTGAACTTTTGTTGTAAAACTGCTCCCACTGCTACCTGCGATGCATCTGTACATAAAATGAGTGAAGCTTCTGGGTTGATGTGAGATAACATTACTACGTTGGATAAGGCATCTTTTGCATTATTAAATGCTGCTTTTGCTTCTTCAGACCACTGAAATTTCTTCGAATTGCATCTAAGTAGGTCGGTCAGTGGCTGAACTATGGAGGCACATGATGGAATAAAACGTCGGTAGAAGTTGAACATCCCGAGAAAACGTCTAAGTTTCTTTAAGGAATCAGGTTCGGGAAAGTTCTTAATAGTTTTATCTTATCTTCGGTAGGTCTGATGCCTTCGGCAGTTATTCGATGTCCTAAGAATTCAATGGAAGGGGAACCAAAAATACATTTCTTTGGATTGATAACAACTCCAAATTGTTCAAACCTTTGAAATAACAGGCTTAAGTGTTGCATATGTTCTTCCATCGATGAGCTGGCAATTAAGACATCGTCGATATATACAAAGACGAAATCAAGACCTTGGGTAACTTGGTCCATAAAACGCTGAAATGTTTGAGCAGCATTCTTTAGTCCGAAAGGCATTCTCAAGAATTCGAATAATCCAAAAGGCGTGATAATTGCTGTTTTTGCAATGTCTTCTGGAGCGACTGGTATTTGATGATATGCCCTGACCAAGTCAACTTTAGTAAAAACGGTCTTTCCATGTAAGGTCAAGGAGAAGTCGTGGAGATGAGGTATAGGATAACGATCTGGGACCGTAGCGTTATTCAAAGCGCGATAATCTCCACATGGTCGCCAGTCATGATTAGTTTTAGGTACCATGTGCAAAGGTGAAGACCATGGGCTGTTAGATGGTCGTATGATACCTAGCTGCATCATATGTTCGAATTCCGACTTAGCTGCTGCTAGTTTATCGGGTGGTAACCGTCGTGGACGTGCCTTCACAGGTTGTCCTGTTGTGATGATCTTATGCGTAACTGTATGAGATATATCTTCGAGGTTGTATGATGGTTTAAGGATTTTAGGAAATCGTTGCAATAAAGCAGAGAACATTTCACTCTCCGGCTTTTCTATACAGATGCTATGAACAGAGTAGTCACATGTAATACCGTGGATCTTGAGTTGGGTGCAATTGTCAACCAGTTTTTTCTTGCTGATATCAACCAACAGATTGAAGTGACTTAGGAAGTCTGCACCTAGTATAGCGTGACGTACGTCAGCTACTATGAAGATCCATGTGAAACGTCGGCGTAGTCCTAAGTTTAAAATCATTGACTGTTCGCCATACGTCTGTATGTTGGTTTGGTTGGCAGCACGAAGTGAAAGTTTTCCAGGTATTTTGGCTGATCGCCTGGATAGTGAGGGGGGAATAACACTGACCTCGGCGCCTGTATCTACCAGGAATAATGTGCCGGTAGTCAAATCCCTCACATAGAAAAGGCGACTGGGGTGATTGCCATTAACAGCCGTCGCCATTACTGTCTGGCTGGGGAGTTTCCCTGAGATGAGTTACTACTACTGTACATACACGGTCGAATACACTTCAGGGCATTATGCCCATACCTCCTATGATACCAACAAATGTTACGGCTTTGAGACGGTGTTCTAGAACGTCGTCTAGATCTTGATCGCCGTTGCTTGGATACCGTATGTGACTGGTTCCTTTGTGCTCGAAGCTCGGACACTTCCAGTCGTAAATCTTGCATTTGAGATGTTAACTGGGAAAGTAACCAAAACATTGGTGCGTCCTTCATAGATGTGGAAGGGCTTGGTGGTACTGCCTCTGTAGACACGCTATTTATGCCATTATTTGATAACACATCCATGATATCGTCTGCCATTTTAGCTAATTCTTCAAGGTCTGTCGTCCTAGAAGATATTGTTAGGATTTGTTGAACATTTTGTGGTAAACGTTGTAAGAACATCTGACGTAGAATTAACTCATCTACTTTGTGTGACCCAATCAACTGGCGCATATGTCTAAGTAGTTGAGATGGCTTTTTTGTACCTAGATCACACGAAGTAAGTAGTTGTTGTATGCGTTTCTCATCGGAGAGAGTGGTCCGCTGGATGAGTGCAGCTTTTAGTTTGTCATATTGAGAGTCTGTAGGTTTGCTGTCTATGACATCGATAACCTCTCGTAGTACTTCCGTGGGAATTGCTGCTAATACGCAACCATACATGGCGATCTGCGACGTAATACCTCGAGCTGCAAACAACTGTTCAATGATTGTGAACCAGACACGTGGTTCAGCCAGATCAAATTGAGGTAGTCTTAAATCCGGCAAGGCGTTAACAGCAGAGTTCTGTGTCTCTTCGCCTTTATTACCTTCTTCAGCAACAGTGGTACGTTTAGGTGGAGCCATTGTCATATAATATATAAGTATAGAGATATACAAAATAGAAAAACTTGTGGTAACAAAAATTAAAGCAGTGCGAGTTTATAAGGCCAAAATAGCAACAAAAATGTTCAAAACGAGTTAACTATCGAAACAAAAAGGTTCGAAAACGGGTTAACCATAAAAAAAGGTTCGAAACGGGCTCACCAATTATTGTGGTGAACCTTTCACTCTGTTAGCTTAGTTACCCAAATTCAAATAGAAAATAAAATACCAAATCAGTTTAGTTACGGGAAGAATATATTAAAGTTTCGTTACTTGGGTTTACAAAGATCCAAAATTCACAATAAACGTAATAGACTCCAGAGGTGCTGCGGGAAAACTGCTCCAGTACTAATTCTCCAATGTTGACGTTGTGTAGTAATTTATTGTACTTGAAGTATTAGTATTTCGATCTGATGGAATTATAAGAATCTAAACAAAACCCAGAGAGGGCAGCAATCAGGAATTCGTATTTAGCGGAATTATTATGCAATTCATATAAGAAACATATCAACAGTCAACAGTAAGTATTTTAAACAATACAGAGATAGAAATTGTCAATCACCACATCCGCCACACCTCGAATATCTCCTCGCGTATTTATAGCGATGTCTCGGTTTGCTTGCAAGTAGCTTCGACCTAACTGATTCTGTGATATTATTTTCATCAGTATTATCTGGACCTATTTCTGAATTATCTACAAAATCAGGATTATTAGCGGAATCAATAATATTATAATTGGTACGACCTACTTCATTTATTGTCACTTTTTCCAGGTGTCCGTTATGAACTGAGTGATCTTTGATGTCTGATATCTTTACCACTCGATTTCCCATTTTTTGTAGTATAATTCCAACAGAAGGTCTATAGTTATTACCTTTGTAATAATGTGCATTAGAAGTCGTGGACATCAGATGCTTCTTGAGAATTCGAGATTTGAATAGTTTTGCAGGACTTTCACAAGAACTTGTATGCTCTGGATTCACCAGACGTAGTCTATGCATATGCAGTAATTCCTCTATTTTATTCAGTTGCTCTCTCATCTCATTCAGGTCTTTTTGTGCTTTCGACAGTTCACATTGCAACTTGGCTACCTCATTTTTGAATACAGTTGGTGCTTGCGTTGCTGAACTTGCAGTGGAGGTTTTCATTGGATTAGCTTGAGTATTTTGAAAGGTTGAAAGACACATAGACTCCATTTTACTAGACAGCTTGGGAGAATTATAAGAATGTTGAGCAACATAAGTATTCGAACTTCTGCAAACCGTCTTGATGTGTCCAACTTTACCACATTTATAGCACTTAGCACTCCGAAAACGGCAAGTGCTTCGTAGATGTAACTTTCCACAGGATAAACACGGTTTAATGTTTTTGATCTCTGGCTGCATTCTATTACCTGTGGACGGCAGTTTGGATTTCTTTCCATGAACACTTGTATTTTCGACTTTGGACAGCATGACATCAGATACTGACGTAGTGGGAGCAGAGTATTCACTATTGACATCCTCATATGTAATACATACCTCTTTAGCAGTTTGAAAGGTACAAGAAGGAATCTGAATTAACTCTTTCTCTAATTTAGGAATATTGATTCCAGCAATTAGACGATCACGTAGTTGAGTATGTAGCTGATCTCCAAAGTTACACTTTGAGGCTTGAATTTGAAGTTGAAGAATGAAGTCTCTAATCTTCTGGTTGGGAGAACGTACCAGTTTGTTGAAGTGAGCCCTCTCTCTGGTCTCAAATGTAGTCACATGAAAGTGATTTGTCAGAAGTTCACGGATCTTGTCATATGACATAGAAATGGGTTTATCTGGAAATGCCAGATTCTTCACCAGGCTATATGCATCAAGCCCAATAGCGGTGATGAAATGAGCAGGTATTTTATCATCCCGAACATTCTTGGAAATGCACCACGCATCAAAGCATTCCAAATAATCAGCAATCTCCCGCGGAGAACCATTAAGAGGAAATTTTCCCAGGTTACTTAGCTCCATCGCGACGCCAATTTGTAGTAATTTATTGTACTTGAAGTATTAGTATTTCGATCTGATGGAATTATAAGAATCTAAACAAAACCCAGAGAGGGCAGCAATCAGGAATTTGTATTTAGCGGAATTAGAATGCAATTCATATAAGAAACATATCAACAGTCAACAGTAAGTATTTTAAACAATACAGAGATAGAAATTGTCAATCACCACATCCGCCACACCTCGAATATCTCCTCGCGTATTTATAGCGATGTCTCGGTTTGCTTGCAAGTAGCTTCGACCTAACTGATTCTGTGATATTATTTTCATCAGTATTATCTGGACCTATTTCTGAATTATCTACAAAATCAGGATTATTAGCGGAATCAATAATATTATAATTGGAACGACCTACTTCATTTATTGTCACTTTGTCCAGGTGTCCGTTATGAACTGAGTGATCTTTGATGTCTAATATCTTCACCACTCGATTTCCCATTTTTTGTAGTATAATTCCAACAGAAGGTCTATAGTTATTACCTTTGTAATAATGTACATTAGAAGTCGTGGACATCAGATGCTTCTTGAGAATTCGAGATTTGAATAGTTTTGCAGGACTTTCACAAGAACTTGTATGCTCTGGATTCACCAGACGTAGTCTATGCATATGCAGTAATTCCTCAATTTTATTCAGTTGCTCTCTCATCTCATTCAGGTCTTTTCGTGCTTTCGACAGTTCACATTGCAACTTAGCTACCTCATTTTTGAATACAGTTGATGCTTGCGTTGCTGAACTTGCAGTGGAGGTTTTCGTTGGATTAGCTTGAGTATTTTGAAAGGTTGAAAGACACATAGACTCCATTTTACTAGACAGCTTGGGAGAATTATAAGAATGTTGAGCAACATAAGTATTCGAACTTCTGCAAACCGTCTTGATGTGTCCAACTTTACCACATTTATAGCACTTAGCACTCCGAAAACGGCAAGTGCTTCGTAGATGTAACTTTCCACAGGATAAACACGGTTTAATGTTTTTGATCTCTGGCTGCATTCTATTACCTGTGGACGGCAGTTTGGATTGCTTTCCATGAACACTTGTATTTTCGACTTTGGACAGCATGACATCAGATACTGACGTAGTGGGAGCAGAGTATTCATTATTGACATCTTCATATGTAATACATACCTCTTTAGCAGTTTGAAAGGTACAAGAAGGAATCTGAATTAACTCTTTCTCTAATTTAGGAATATTGATTCCAGCAATTAGACGATCACGTAGTTGAGTATGCAGCTGATCTCCAAAATTACACTTTGAGGCTTGAATTTGAAGTTGAAGAATGAAGTCTCTAATCTTCTGGTTGGGAGAACGTACCAGTTTGTTGAAGTGAGCCCTCTCTCTGGTCTCAAATGTAGTTACATGAAAGTGATTTGTCAGAAGTTCACGGATCTTGTCATATGACATAGAAATGGGTTTATCTGGAAATGCCAGATTCTTCACCAGGCTATATGCATCAAGCCCAATAGCGGTGATGAAATGAGCAGGTATTTTATCATCCCGAACATTCTTGGAAATGCACCACGCATCAAAGCATTCCAAATAATCAGCAATCTCCCGCGGAGAACCATTAAGAGGAAATTTTCCCAGGTTACTTAGCTCCATCGCGACGCCAATTTGTAGTAATTTATTGTACTTGAAGTATTAGTATTTCGATATGACGGAATTATAAGAATCTAAACAAAACCCAGAGAGGGCAGCAATCAGGAATTTGTATTTAGCGGAATTATAATGCAATTCATATAAGAAACATATCAACAGTCAACAGTAAGTATTTTAAACAATACAGAGATAGAAATTGTCAATCACCACATCCGCCACACCTCGAATATCTCCTCGCGTATTTATAGCGATGTCTCGGTTTGCTTGCAAGTAGCTTCGACCTAACTGATTCTGTGATATTATTTTCATCAGTATTATCTGGACCTATTTCTGAATTATCTACAAAATCAGGATTATTAGCGGAATCAATAATATTATAATTGGAACGACCTACTTCATTTATTGTCACTTTGTCCAGGTGTCCGTTATGAACTGAGTGATCTTTGATGTCTGATATCTTTACCACTCGATTTCCCATTTTTTGTAGTATAATTCCAACAGAAGGTCTATAGTTATTACCTTTGTAATAATGTGCATTAGAAGTCGTGGACATCAGATGCTTCTTGAGAATTCGAGATTTGAATAGTTTTGCAGGACTTTCACAAGAACTTGTATGCTCTGGATTCACCAGACGTAGTCTATGCATATGCAGTAATTCCTCAATTTTATTCAGTTGCTCTCTCATCTCATTCAGGTCTTTTCGTGCTTTCGACAGTTCACATTGCAACTTGGCTACCTCATTTTTGAATACAGTTGGTGCTTGCGTTGCTGAACTTGCAGTGGAGGTTTTCATTGGATTAGCTTGAGTATTTTGAAAGGTTGAAAGACACATAGACTCCATTTTACTAGACAGCTTGGGAGAATTATAAGAATGTTGAGCAACATAAGTATTCGAACTTCTGCAAACCGTCTTGATGTGTCCAACTTTACCACATTTATAGCACTTAGCACTCCGAAAACGGCAAGTGCTTCGTAGATGTAACTTTCCACAGGATAAACACGGTTTAATGTTTTTGATCTCTGGCTGCATTCTATTACCTGTGGACGGCAGTTTGGATTTCTTTCCATGAACACTTGTATTTTCGACTTTGGACAGCATGACATCAGATACTGACGTAGTGGGAGCAGAGTATTCATTATTGACATCTTCATATGTAATACATACCTCTTTAGCAGTTTGAAAGGTACAAGAAGGAATCTGAATTAACTCTTTCTCTAATTTAGGAATATTGATTCCAGCAATTAGACGATCACGTAGTTGAGTATGTAGCTGATCTCCAAAGTTACACTTTGAGGCTTGAATTTGAAGTTGAAGAATGAAGTCTCTAATCTTCTGGTTGGGAGAACGTACCAGTTTGTTGAAGTGAGCCCTCTCTCTGGTCTCAAATGTAGTCACATGAAAGTGATTTGTCAGAAGTTCACGGATCTTGTCATATGACATAGAAATGGGTTTATCTGGAAATGCCAGATTCTTCACCAGGCTATATGCATCAAGCCCAATAGCGGTGATGAAATGAGCAGGTATTTTATCATCCCGAACATTCTTGGAAATGCACCACGCATCAAAGCATTCCAAATAATCAGCAATCTCCCGCGGAGAACCATTAAGAGGAAATTTTCCCAGGTTACTTAGCTCCATCGCGACGCCAATTTGTAGTAATTTATTGTACTTGAAGTATTAGTATTTCGATCTGATGGAATTATAAGAATCTAAACAAAACCCAGAGAGGGCAGCAATCAGGAATTTGTATTTAGCGGAATTATTATGCAATTCATATAAGAAACATATCAACAGTCAACAGTAAGTATTTTAAACAATACAGAGATAGAAATTGTCAATCACCACATCCGCCACACCTCGAATATCTCCTCGCGTATTTATAGCGATGTCTCGGTTTGCTTGCAAGTAGCTTCGACCTAACTGATTCTGTGATATTATTTTCATCAGTATTATCTGGACCTATTTCTGAATTATCTACAAAATCAGGATTATTAGCGGAATCAATAATATTATAATTGGTACGACCTACTTCATTTATTGTCACTTTTTCCAGGTGTCCGTTATGAACTGAGTGATCTTTGATGTCTGATATCTTTACCACTCGATTTCCCATTTTTTGTAGTATAATTCCAACAGGTCTATAGTTATTACCTTTGTAATAATGTGCATTAGAAGTCGTGGACATCAGATGCTTCTTGAGAATTCGAGATTTGAATAGTTATGCTGGACTTGTTTGTTGTTGACCTTGGCGGCCTGTTCGAATATTTGGGCCTGCTACCAAAATATCTACATTTTGCATCCAGTTTACTATTTACCAGCATACATTTATGAACTTAATATGAATTCTAACAGAATCATTTACTCTCGTAACTTTATTAATGATTTACGACCAAATGACTTTCATATTCCAAAGAAACCAAGAAGGAAACATCGTAGTGGTTGGCAGAGAGCTCTCAAACGTACACCAATACACTTAACTACGGTCCCCGTCATAATGAACTCAAACTGTCGCTCTCTGCCAAATAAGATAATGTACCTACAATCCCTGATGTCAACTGATACGTATCATAACACCGCCATAATCGCATTACAAGAAACGTGGTTGCATGAACTGTATGATGACAACCTTATCTCACTAAAAGACTTTATTTTATTTCGTCAAGACCGTCGCTGTTGTAATAAGAAAAATGGTGGTGGCGTTGCAACTTTTATTCACTCCAAATGGTCTGTCTCAAATAACGTCTGCTTCACCTTCTCAAATGACTTCATTGACTGTATTACTGTCAAATGTCGCCCCAAACACCTCCCCAAGTATAAACAATTCTATATTACAAACATGTACATCTCTCCTAGTTGCTCTCCATCTGATCTATCTAATTTTGCTGACGAATTCACCATGTTTGCTGCTGCCAACTTCGACAACTCTCTATCCGTTATTACTGGAGACTTCAACACATCGGATTGTTCCTTTCTTGAAGCTCTTGGTCACACAAACATAGTCAAATTTCCCACTCGACTTGACAAAACACTCGACTCGTTTTTACTAATGACGAAGGAGTATATGAAACACGAAGACGTTCACCGATACATAACTCCGATCACTGCATTGTCCGCGTTTTGCCAAAAATATACAGCAAAACACATATTAAAATCTTCTCACACCTGTCTACGAAAGCACAAGAAAGATGCTACACATCTGACAACTTACTCAATCTAAGATGCATGTTAAAAGATACCAACTGGGATCTATTCTATGAAAGTACATTAGATGACTCAATCACCAATATAATGGATTATCTTAAGTTCTGCCTCGACATTTGCTGTCCCAAACAAACACTGTTCAAACGCCTCGACCGCTTCTCGTCTCCCCGTCTCAAACAACTTCGCAGGCAAAAAGAAATGTTATATAAATGCAAAGACAAGTTAGGTCTTAAAAAGATTAATGCTCAAATCAAATCTGAAATCAAAAATCTTAATGCTATCTATAACCAAACACTTTTATCATGCAAATCTCCTAACAGCATGTGGAAACTTTTCAATGAAATTACTGGCAATAGTAAGCGATGTAATGTTTTTCCCTCTTTTGATGTTAATGCTCTTAATCTGTCTTTTTTACGCTCTCCTTCTACTATAACCACTTCTAACGTTACCAATCTTGTAGCTGATAACTTCCAGGACTTCAATACTCTCGATGTTTTGAAATGTCTTAAAACTCTTAAGCCCTCACATAGTCTTGGCCCTGATAGCATACCTGCATATGTTCTAAAACAATGTGCAGATGCTTTATGTTCTCCTCTAACTAATATACTAAATGCTTCTTTCCGTGAAAACGTTGTACCTGTTCCATGGAAAGACATTAAAATAGTCCCTGTCCCTAAACCTGGCAATAGCAAGAACGTAAAGTTCAGACCCATCGCCATCACTTCCCCGTTTCTAAAGCTCATGGAAAAACTAGTACTTCTTAAACTCGAACCCTCCCTTAAAAGCTTCGAAGACCCCAAACAATTTGCCTACAGACAGGGTAGGAGTACTTTAGACGCTGCAGCCGTCTTACACAACAGTATTATCTCATCATTAGACAAAGGTGCCAAATATGTCCGCTGCACGTTTCTTGACTTTACTTCTGCTTTCGACTCTGTACCTAGAAGTCTCTTGCTAAATAAGCTCTCCATGACACAAACCGAGTCCTGGGTCACTAACTGGTTGCATTCCTACTTTTCAAACAGAATGCAGTACACCGTATACAAAGGCCAATCCTCCTCTGCTGTGCTCACAGAAGCTGGTGTCCCCCAAGGTGCTGTACTCTCCCCACTTCTCTTTTCTTTCTTTCTACATGACCTACCGTCTTCAAATGACATTAACTTTGTCAAATATGCTGATGACCTAACTGTGTCTTTACCTGTCAAATGTCAAAGTGACTGCTCTAAACTAAATGGCTTCTTATCGGAAATTAGCCAATGGTCCAAGGAAAACGGTCTAACCTTAAACCCCTCCAAACGCCAAACAGTTAATTTCACCCTTAGGCATAAATCTGACCTAAACAAACTGGTTAGCACTCATGAGGTGTGCAACATAGATGGCAGTGAAATAGAAACCAAGTCGGAAATTAAATACCTAGGAGTCACTCTATCTTCTGATCTTTCCTGGTCGTCTCATATCTTGACGATTTCCAAGAAAATATACCGTCTTACCTTCTACATCAAGAAGTTAAGGCATTCTGGTGTAACCCCACCCTTACTCCTACAATTTTTTAACTCCCGTATTCTGCCTATTATTCTCTATTGCTCCCCCTTAGTCTTTCCTGGGCTATTGAAGAAAGACTATACCTTATTACGTAGGGTGTTAAAGGTTGTCAGCAGGGTAATCAGCTTGCCACTTAGCCAGCTAGTTAATATTCTGGTGGACAGGCATATGGACTCATGTGAAAAATGGGCGAAATCCATTTTATCTGACTCACAACACCCTCTACATTCACAACTGTCCCCATGTATCTCTTCAGGGAAAACAAGAAGCCTATATAGGAAACTATATGCCCGCACTAGTAAGTACAAAAACTCATCCATACCCTACTTAGCTCGTGTTCTGTGTGATAAAGAATGCATCAGGCATGAAACCTTTAACTTATTAAATAGTCAGTAGAACCAATGGATCTTGTCTTTCCAACTCACATCATTTATAGGTACAACGTTTTCTCGCTCTTCATTCTGTATTTATTTTTGTTATGTGCTGTTTTGTTTCTCTCTTCCTTGCAAACTCTACTTAAAACATTCTTGTTCGTTCTTTCACACTCTGTACATCTCGAACATTTTGCTATCGCTTACGCCAGTAAATATGCTAGTAGTATCTACTTTTCTAACACCTTCAAACACTTTAATTTTGGCTTTGCTACCG